TTGAATCCAGCAGAGCTTCGTCTCTCCAAAAATTCGAACCCCTGAACAAATGAACCACCTCTCCTATTTATAGGCCACCTTTACTGTGCCCGCGCACAGGTGGCCGACACACCGAGCCACCTCAAGGTGGCTCGGTTTCGGCCGAGCCCCCCCTTGGTGTTGGGTTTCGTCGTTGATTTGGCAGTCCGGATCCTGATTTGGCAGTAAATCCGCTTCGGTGTTTAACCTCGTCGCCTCGATGGTTCGTTGGTTTGTTGAATCACCGTGCCGAGCTGTGTTAAGGGACCTATAAGCAATTTTATACGCCTACAGATACCCCCTCCAAAGTATTTCAGCCTCGTTCTTTTATAGAAGGGTCTGGAATACTTTGGATATGATCGTCCCAACCTTCAGTCGGTGTAACAGGACTTTGGAATGGCTTCTGTTATTGATTCCTTCAATCCTTCAGGCTATTCGGTGCTTCGTCGAATGTCTGTAAGGTTTCCGGTGCTGCATTTATTGTCTGACCGTTGTCGGAATTTCGAACTTGAAGTCGATCCCTGATTTTTTGATCTTTAGCTCGTGTTTGTTGGTTCAACATAGAACTGACCCTCGATTGTTGGCGTTGAGTCTTTATTTGCGACGCGTTGTCTTATTGGAGTATTAAGAAGCAGTTTATACTCGTATACTTTTTGGAGTATTGATTTTTTCATTGCAACGCATTGATCGGCGTTGACCTAGGGTTACGCATTGACCGGCGTTGACCCTAGGGTTTCAAACGTCGTACGTTGACTGTTTGATCGCAACGCGTTGACTGGCGTTGACCTAGGGTTACACGTTGACCGGCGTTGACCCTAGGGTTTCGAACGTCGTACATTGACTTTTTTATCGCAACGCGTTGACTGGTGTTGACCTAGGGTTACGCGTTGACCGACGTTGACCCTAGGGTTTCGAATGTCGTACGTTGACTTTTTGATCGCAACGCGTTGACTAGCGTTGGCCTAGGGGTACGCGTTGTCCGGCGTTAACCCTAGGGTTTCGAACGTCGTAGGATGCTCAAGTCATGTGACCAACTAATGAAGCTGATGCGTCAGTGACTCTCGTATTTATAGGATTTTTGGCAAACCCTCAGCCATCAACGGGTTTGATAAGCCTTTACCGACTACCGTTTGAGTCGGGCTAGCATGCGGATTGTCTAAATCCGTTCCGCATGTGACGTTGTGCTAAGAGAGTTAACGCTCTTAGTGCTACGATATTGAATACGTAGTGTAATGACCGTAAATTTCTAATACGGTTTAAATAATTTTCTGGTATTTAAATATTAAATATTATTTTTCTAAAAGAGTATTTGTATTTTTTCCAATTTCTCTAGAATTTTCTACGATTTAAAAATACGATATTATGTTATTTTAATAAGTTTTGTTAATTATAAATTTAATTGTTTTGGTGAAAATTTTAAATAAATAGTTAATTATTCATCATTGTTATTGTTATTATTATTTTGACCATAAATTTTAATATTTATTTGGAATAAATTTTATGATATTTTTAAATTATTTAAGGGGGTATTTTTCCCTGCGCCTCGTGTTTTCCCCCAGCTCTCAACCCACGTCCTCCCAACCACCCTATCCCGCACAATCTTCCTCATTAATTTCTCCGTCGTTTTTACTCTCTCTCCAATCCCACACTCAATCTACCTCTCTCTCTCTCTCTGACACTCTCTCTCAATATAATTCACTCTCCATATTTTAATCCAACAAATCTCTCTTCTCTCCAGCTCACGTCCCCTCACCATCACTCTCAATCTCTCTCTCTCTCCTCTTTTAAAAACCAAGAAAACCCCCACGAAAATCAGCTCGCCTCTCCTTTATCAACTCCCCAACCAGCTCAACCCTGCTGTCGTCCTCTGCCGTTTGCCGTCGCTCCAGCACGAACGCCAAGCCCCCGGACAAAAACACGGGCGAGCGTCGCGACCGCTGAACCTTCCGTTCTACAGACTGGCCGACGAGCGAGATCTCCCAGTCAGCGCCCGATCGAGCTCGAGCTCGGAGTAGCTGCAGTGCCTCGCGAGCGGACTCAGACGCACCTGCTCGCTGCACCTCTCTGTCGTCAGCGCGTTGGCCGAGCGCCGCCGGGCAGGCTCCACCTCACGCGCATCAGCCGCTGCCAGCGCTCCGCTGCCAAGCACCTTCGCGCGGTTCGACACGCCAACAGCCCGGCTGACGCGTCGGACCACCGCTGGCAAGCCGCTGTCGCCGGCTTGCGGTGGTCCGGCCGTCAGCGGAAAACCCTGCGCGCGCGGCCCCCGCTTGCCTCCTCCGAGGCGTCGACACGCCTGAGGCTGACGGCCGCCGGCCGTTCACTCTGAAAGCGCCAGACTCCCTCTCTTCGTTCTCACGGCTCGTGCAGGCGCGCTCGCACGACGCGCGCCGAACAGCCCGCGGGCGTAAGGCTGGGCCTGGCGTCATTTCGTGCGAACCTCGCATCGCGCGCCTCCGCCGAGATCCCTCAACCGCCGACGTCGTTGTTCAGATCCTCGTCACCACCTCCAGAACCTCCCCTTCACTGTCCAGACCCGTGTCGACACCCTCGTCAGCCCCAACTCAGATCCGCGAGCCGTAGTCCCGTTCGTCAACGCCGATTTGTTCGACACAACTCGAGGCAAGATCTCGCATCCATCTTGTTCTTAAATAATGAATAATATCGTGTTATTATGATGATTAGATACAAATAAATTATTTTGTGGCAATATTGTTGTTAGTATGATGATTGAATATGTTTAAATTATTATTGTGGTTAATACGTATTTTTGAATATCTGCGTGGAATGATGATTGCGAGCGCACCGTGAAAATTAGACTAATAATGTTGTTAATTACATTTTTAAGAATTCCGGACATGAAATGACCAGTTATGTGCTAAATTAGAATTTATGGAATTTTTATCGAAAAGAAATTAGTTAGGGAAATTTATATAATAGAAGAATATTATTTTTCATGCCAAAAGGAATTTTTTATGTTATATTATATAAATCTTTTTAATTTTAAATTAGTTATAATGAGAAATAGTTTTAAAGAATAATTTTTGAAAAAAAAGGGAATATTATTATTAAGAATAATTTTTGAAAAAAAGGAATATTATTATTTATGATAGTATGACTGATCGCCGTAGAGCGGGACATTTCATGTGCAAAACGACATCGGTTTCTAGTTTTCTTTTTACTGTATTATTATATTAGAGAATACGTAAGTACAGATATTTTGTATGAGAAGTTCGGACATCCTAGCGGTAAGATAATAATGAAGCCCACTCATGCATTATTCATGCTTAGACATTTCATGTTCATTATAGTTCTCATTTCTGCTTTATAAACCTATTTAATCATGTTTAACATGCCATACTATATTCATGATCTGTTGACGTGTTGAGAACCTTAGTAGTTCATGATTTAGTAGCCTTGTGCGTCATGAACAGACTTAGTGACATGCGTGAGTTTAGGTGGTGAACCCGAGTTTTCAAATGAGATTATGATTAACTTAGAAAAACGAGAAGAGTTGGGATGGGAAAGTCCTTGTTCATGTGATCGGATATAGCTGTTGATGTATCTTCCAGACTCCCCCATGATCCAGTGTAGCTTGGGGTTAGTTTGTTGGGTCAAAGTGAAGCCAGTGTAGTCACTTTGGTCCGTGAATTGGATATTCACCCGGGTTTAACTTGAGTTCGAACCAGGTTGAAAACGGATTACGTGTAGCCCTCTGACCGATCCAGTGTAGCGGCGTATTGGGTACACGTAGAGGATTTGTGAACAGTCAGATATCCGGTGATATGAGTGATGACTTTGTGTGAGAATTGACCAGTGACTTGTTATAGGATGGATTAGTCGTAGGAATTAGATTACCATTTGACTTGAGTATCTCTGTTCGTTCTGATAGTAGCAAATGTTCACTTAAATTGCTAGAATTACAGAATCATATTCCATCATTACTATTATCATAGTATGGGTCGCTAGACCGTTTTATCTGTACATGTGAGATCTTGCCGTGTGCCATGCACCCTGACGTACACCTGTTTTCTCTGGTGTGCGTCAGACTTAGGAGACAAACAGGTTCAGTTTGATGATGCAGCCGAGCCAGTGTATGCCCAGCCGGAATGTCCTTCCGATGGAGTGGTCATTACTATTATCATAGTATGGGTCGCTAGACCGTTTTATCTGTACATGTGAGATCTTGCCGTGTGCCATGCACCCTGACGTACACCTGTTTTCTCTGGTGTGCGTCAGACTTAGGAGACGAACAGGTTCAGTTCGATGATGCAGCCGAGCCGGAGTATACCCAGCCGGAGTGTCCTCCCGATAGAGTGGAAGAACAAACTGAAGCCTAGACGTGTTTTTCTTTTATGTAGTAGTGGATGAACATTAGAACTCGTTATCGTTTTATTTCTTTAGTTAATGTTGGACCTTCGTATTTTGGCAGTACTTCTTTATTATGGACTATATATTTTTATTTCTACCTAGACTTGTTTTGTAATAAGGGTATGTTGAACCCATATTTTATGTCTGGGATGATCTGTTGATGATATGTTTATTTCTTCTTCTGGGTTGTCTTTATATTCTTACTATTATGATCGGGGACCTGTGATTGAGATTTGTATATTTAACGCTTAGCTGATTGAGATTTGTATATTTGACGCTTAGCGTATTGGATTGAGAAGAAAAGAAAAAAAAATGATGATAATATTTCTTCTCAATCGAATACGTCGCGGACTTGTTCACGTTCTGATTTCCCAGTATTTTGGGAAGCGGGGCGTGACAGGTTTTGGTGGTGGCCCATGCAGGTCCCGGTCCCGAGTTCCCACTAGTAAGAATGTATTGGACGATTCAAATACATATCATTTTCCATCCGTAAGACTACAATTAAGTTCTTATATTATTATCTTAATAACTATGTTTTAGTTCCTATTTTCCAAATATATTGTTTGATTTTAACCTTAATTTTCCTTTTGATCCTCGTTCCCTTCAGAACTATGGTGGGTACTCGTAGTAATGGTAACCCATACAGTGGCAATGGTCAGATGCCTGAAGCAGATCCGCAGCAGCTTTTAGCGATGATTCAAGGGCTGGTAACGAACCAGCAATTCTTAGCTGGGCATTTGCAGCAGGAGCCTCAGCACCAGCATCCCCCTCGCTCGGAGCCTGGTGTTAGAGAGTTCCGGTATATGCGGCCTCCTTCCTTCTCCGGTGCTGAAGGACCTCTAGCAGCAGAAGAATTCCTGAAGGTTACCGAGACTATCCTTACGGTGACCCGCATTGCCCCTGCAGAGTGGGTGGACCTTATGGACGTCCAGCTCACTGATACAGCTAGAATCTGGTGGGCTGCTGAGAAGACACACCTAGAGAGGCCGATTCTGTGGGAGACATTCACGGATCGCTTCAATATGAAGTATTTCCCTCAGTCAGCCCGAGATGAGCTCCTGCGTAGATTTGTCGAGCTTAAGCAGGGGAGTCGATCAGTCGACGAGTACGAGGCCGAGTTCTCTTCTTTGAGCCGATATGCTCCTCACTTAGTTACAGACCCTGCGATTAGGAGGCATCAGTTCCAGAAGGGCCTAGACAAGTACATTAGGATGGCTCTGGCAGGTAGAGCTTTGGCGACCCATGATGCGGTGCTGGATGCAGCACGGGAGATTGAGAGCGTGCATAAGGAGCCTGAAGACTCCCACGTGATTCAGAGCAGGACACCAGCAGCTCCGGCCCGGAATGTTGAGCGTCCCCCTCCGAGACAGCAGCAGCAGGGTCCACAGAGGCAGCAGCACTCTCAGCGTCAGCCATTCCCTCAGAGTCACCCTTATCAGCGCCCGGGAGTGCAGACTCGCGGCCAACCTTCGGTGAGGTGTTCCTATTGCAGCTACCCTGGTCATACTCTGCAGGATTGCCCCAGGCGTCTTCACCTATGCTTTAGCTGTGGGTCCCCCGATCATATCAGTCGAGACTGTCCTCAGAAACAGCAGGCCCGGTTGCCCACACCTCCAGTTCGAACAACTCTTCTAGCTCCGCCTCGACCAGCCCCGGCAGCACAGCCTCAGCACAGATCCTATCCTCGAGCAGGGCCTCTTCCTCCACAGCAGCAGCGTTATCAGGAAGCACACCGGCAGCAACCTCAGCGACAGACGTTCATGATGTCAGCCGTAGAAGCTGAGGCGAACGATCGAGTTATCACTGGTAAGAATTGTTTATCTTAGTCTTAATTGCATATGAATTTTCTTATTACATAATGATACTATGATAGGATTGTTTAAGAATACTGAGTTAGTTATGTTTACATCCTCCTATAATAGGCAAGGTCCTTGTTTCTTCCGTTCCTGCTTTATCACTCTTCGATTCTGGAGCCTCCCATTGTTTCTTGTCTCGTCGCTTTGCGAATACCCACTCTCTTCCTATAGCTCCTTTGACTACGGGCTGGAATATTAACACTGGCAGTGGTGTCTTAGTAGCATCCAGTGGTTATGAAGCATGCCCTGTAGTCATCTGCGGGAGGGAACTCTTCGCAGATTTTCTGGTGATAGATTTGCCGAGCTTTGATGCAGTTTTTGGGATGGATTGGTTGGGGTCGTTCTTTGCCACCATTGATTGTCGTCGTCGGAGCGTAGTATTCGAGATACCGGATCATCCGAGATTTGAGTTCACTAGTGGTAGCACATCGGCCGGACCTGTGGAGTTCAGAGCTAGACCGAAGAAGGCGACGTTAGCTGCGATGCAAGTGGAATCCGAGAAGCCAATTGTAGTTCAGGAATTTGAAGATGTGTTTCCCGATGATATTTACGGATTACCACCGGATCGAGCAATTGAGTTTTCTATAGATTTGAAGCCTGGAACTGCTCCGATCTCCAAGACTCCTTATCGTATGCCTCCGGCTGAGTTGGCCGAGCTTCGGACTCAGTTGGATGATCTTTTGCAGAGAGGCTTGATACGACCTAGTGTATCAGCCTGGGGAGCACCTGTGTTGCTTGTGGGTAAGAAGGATGGATCCAAGCGGATGTGCATCGACTATCGGGAGTTGAATGCTGTGACAGTGAAGAATAAGTATCCACTTCCCCATATCGATGATATCTTTGATCAATTGGGAGGATCGGGAGTATTTTCTAAGCTGGATTTGCGGAGCGGGTATCACCAGGTGAAGGT